CCTGAAGGGTTTTGGGGATGGGGAGGGGGGTTGGAGGCCGCGGGCCCAGCGCTGGGCTGGCCTGGGAGGGCTGAGTCAGGGCGGTGTGGGAGGAGCTGCGGGAGCGGGATGGGTGTGGGGGGATCCTGGGAATGGGCTGGGATTTGGGGGATCCTGGGAATGGGCTGGGACTTGGGGGATCCTGGGAATGGGCTGGGATCTGGGGGGATCCTGGGAACGGGCTGGGATCTGGGGGGATCCAGGGGAAGGATCAAGGCTGGGCAGGTGAACCAGCATCCTGCTGTCCCCTCAGCCTGCCAAAAGCTGCGTGGTTGGGACACCCAAGGCAGCATCCAGACCTGCTGCTGTTCCTTGTGTTCCCTTATTCCCAAACATCCACAATCCAGACCCTGCCCTGAGGGGGAGGGGGGCTCCAGAGAAGCCACCAGGTGTCCCAGCCACACCTCCTGTGTCACCTGTCCCCATCCTTGGAATAAGGGACTGAATTTCTTCTCAGCTTTTAGTTTCTTGCCCTTGATTCTGGCTCTGTTGTTGTTCTTGCAGGGGTGTGAACACTTTCTCTCCAGAGGGGAGGTTGTTCCAAGTGGAATATGCCATTGAGGCCATCAAGGTATCAGCAGCTCCCTCTGGTTGCCAAACTCTTCCCTTTGTTGGTGGGGAGACCCTGGAACACGTTGCCCAGGGAAGCTGTGGCTGCCCCATCCCTGGCACTGTTGAGGAAAGGTTCATGGTGGTTCTAGCCAAGCTCTGGTTAAGCTGGTGTAGGGAGAGTTTGGGGAGGTGGTCACCACAAATTGGGTGTCTTTGACTTCCTCCCCTCTGCCAGAAGCATCCCCTGTGGCAGCTTCTCTGTGGGGAGTTCATGGCTCTTCACAGTGTCCATGGAGACCTTAGAGCAGCTTCCAGTGCCTGAAGGGGCTCCAGGAAAGCTGGGGAGGGGCTTGGGACAAGGGCAGGGAGGGATGGGATGAGGGGGATGGATGAAAAGTGGAAGAGGGAGATTGAGGTTGGAGATGAGGAGGGAATTCTTTGGTGTGAGGATGGTGAGAGCCTGGCCCAGGTTGCCCAGGGAAGCTGTGGCTGCCCCATCCCTGGGGGTGTTGAAGGGCAGGTTGGATGGGGCTTGGAGCAGCCTGGGCTGGTGGGAGGTGTCCCTGCCCGTGGCAGGTGGGACTGGATGATCTTGAAGGTCTCTCCCACCCAAACCATGCCATGATTCTTCAGTTCTTCCACTGGGGGATGGTCCTTAAAGGCTGAGAGTTCTGTAAAACACATAAAATCACAGCAGGGAGAGTCCCCCCAGGCAGGTGTAGCTCCCTGGAGAAGCCTGACTTGAGATATGGAGAGTCAGCTTCTCTGCTCTGCAGCTGGTGCAGTTCTGGTAAATTCCCCAGTGTGAAAAAGCTGGGAGTGAGGAAGGGGTTAATGGGAGCCCTAGATATCTGCCCTAGGAGGCCATGGTGTCCTGCAGGAGCAGGGGGAGATGTGTCCCAGGTGACAAACTGCCTGGAGAGCTCCACGTGCACAGAGTGCACTGGTTCCTGATGGAAATTCATGGGATGGTTTAGATTGGAAGGGACCTTCAAGATCATCCAGTCCTACCCCCTGCATGGGCAGGGACACCTCCCACCAGCCCAGGCTGCTCCAAGCCCCATCCAACCTGCCCTTCAACACTGCCAGGGATGGGGCAGCCACAGCTTCCCTGGGCAACCTGGGCCAGGGTCTCACCTGAGGACACTTGGGAGAAAAAAAGATCCCAAGGAAGGAAAAATGCCCAGGCAGGGATGCAGATGCTGGGCAGGATTAAAGCCATGATGGGAAATCCTCCTTTTCCTTTAATTCCTCATTTCTCAGGTCTTTAAAATTCCTGAGGCTTTAAGCTATAAGAATGTATGTTGCTCAGGGAAGAGGGGAATTATTTGCAGCATCCCTGCTGGATTCTGTTGGGAATCACCTGAGAAGCAGCAGATTCCATCCCTCCTTCCAGCCATCACATCCCAAATTTGGGTGTATGGATCCAGGGAGTTTTCTGGGTGGTTTTCCATGCTGGTGATGGAATTGTCTCCCAAACAAGAGCAATTCCAGTCCAAATAAACATGGCACTGTTTGGATTTGCCCTGGGTGGGGGATGATGGTGGGAATGGTGTGGTGTTTTCCAGCTTGGATCCACAGCCATTGGGATCCAGACCTCAGAAGGTGTCTGCTTGGCTGTGGAGAAGAGGATCACCTCTCCCCTCATGGAGCCCAGCAGCATTGAGAAGATCGTGGAGATTGATTCCCACATAGGTAAGGAGGGAAGAAAGGACCTTTAGCTGTCCCTCTAGGAACATCCTGCAAATTCTGGATGTAGAAAATAAGACTCAGTTCCTTGAGACTTTCAGGAGCTGCATTTCTAGAATGGTTTTCCAAGGCTGATCCCACTCCAGTGAACACCAGCTCCTGCTCCCTGGTTTTCCAGGCTCCAGGCCAGCAGGACATAGTTCCAGGAGCAGGAAGAGGCAGCTGAAGCTCTGTCTCCACCTCCATGACCTCCCTCATGAAACCTCAACCCAAATTTAGAGCTTGGAGGGCAGGGAATTGCTGCCAAAGGTTTGACTCCAGGCCAGGTTCTCTGGACACCCAGGGAGACACACACACACCATAGGCTGGTGACCAAATATGTGGCCTTGAAAAGCAAGAGCCCTGCAAAACACCCATGTTGGTGGAGACATGGATCATGGAAGGGGCTCATGGAGAGTCTGAATTCCTTCCTCCCAGGTGCTCACTTCTCCCTCTGCTGGAGGCATCTTCCCCCCACCTCCAGGTATCTGTCCCTGTAGAAATGTGTTCCCCTTCCAGCCAGGGTGTGTTTCTGTCACTTGACTTCTCTGGGAAGGCTCAAAACTTTACAAGAATGACATGATGGGGCTGGAATGTGTCCAGAGAAGGACAATGGAGCTGGGGAAGGGGCTGAAGCACAAGAAGGGTCTGGAGAACCTCTGAGGAGCAGCTGAGGGAACTGAGGGTGTCCAGCCTGGAGCAAAGGAGGCTGAGGGGAGACCTGCTGGCTCTGCAACTGCCTGAGAGGAGGTTGTAAAGAGGTGGGGATTTGTTCTCCCAAGGAACAAGGGATAGAACAAGAGGAAATGGCCTCAGGTTGCCCCAGGGGAGGTTTAAGTTGGATCTTGGGAACCATTTCTTCCTGGAAAAGTTTGTCAGTCCCTGCCCCAGGCTGCCCGGGGCAGGGGTGGAGTCTCCATCCCTGGAGGAACTTCAAGCCATGTAGATGTGGTGCTGAGGGACATGGACTTGATGGTCTTGGAGATCTTTCCAACCTTAATGATTCTGTGAAATGTGGCTCCTTTAACTGGATCCAATTTGGGCTGAGTGGGGGAACTGGGTTACATGCCTGCCATTCAGCCAGGTGTCCATCCCTGCACCAGAGCAAATCCACTTGGATCCCATCCTTTTTCCTTTCCTGGAAGAACCCTCTTTGCTCTGCAGCCTTTTGGATTCCACCACAGGCTCTGGGAATTCTGTGGGAAGAGCAAATCCCAAATAATCAGTGCAGTGACCCATGTTTTTCCCCTCTCTACTTCCAGGCTGTGCCATGAGTGGCTTAATAGCTGATGCAAAGACTTTAATTGATAAAGCAAGAGTGGAGACTCAGGTAAGACTTGACATTTCTCCTCTGAAAACCAGACTTAGTTTTGAAGGCATCTCAGAAGCATCTGGCAGGAGAAGATGGTTCCAGCCATGGGGCAGGGGTGGGGGACCTGGGGGGGCTTTTGTAGAGAGAGGCTTGTGTATCATTGTCCTCTTTTGTGGGAATCATAGAATTATGGAGTGGTGTCCTCCAGGAAAGCTGGGGAGGGACTTGGGACAAGGGCAGGGAGGGATGGGATGAGGGGGATGGATGCAAAGTGGAAGAGGGAGATTGAGGTTGGAGATGAGGAGGGAATTCTTTGGTGTGAGGGTGGTGAGAGCCTGGCCCAGGTTGCCCAGGGAAGCTGTGGCTGCCCCATCCCTGGGGGTGTTGAAGGGCAGGTTGGATGGGGCTTGGAGCAACCTGGGCTGGTGGGAGGTGTCCCTGCCCGTGCAGGGGGTTGCATCTAGATGATCTTGAAGGTCCCTTCCCACCCAAACCATCCCATGATCCCAAGGTTTCTGGGGGATCCCTTCACAAACTTCCCATCCTGTTGTGTGCTTCCTGCTCTCTTCCTGCTGCTTCCCTCAGAGAGGCCTTGGAAGGATGTTGTCATGGTGGCTCCACAGGGCATCTATCCAGCCTGACCCATCCAGGACTGTCATATTTTGGGGGAAAAAAAGGTGATCATGTAAAACTTGTGAATATATTTGTTCCCCTGCAGAATCACTGGTTCACCTACAATGAGACCATGACCGTGGAGAGTGTGACCCAGGCTGTGTCCAACCTGGCCCTGCAGTTTGGGGAGGAGGATGCTGACCCAGGAGCCATGGTGAGGAGCTGGATGGGTGGGATGGATCCAGGGAGGTGCTGTTGGATCCCTCAGACTTGAATTCTCTTGGGATTCCCTCACTTGTCCCTTCCTTCCTCTTCCAGTCTCGTCCGTTCGGAGTCGCGTTGCTGTTTGGAGGAGTCGATGAGAAAGGACCTCAGCTGTGAGTTCAGCTCTTGATCCAGAGCAGCTCTGGGAAGGGACAAAACCTTCTCTAAAGATTCCCAGGAGATGTTATGGATGATCCAAGGACTGGAGCCAGGCTGGGAGAGTTGGGATGTTCAGCCTGGAGAAGAGAAGGCTCCAGGGAGACCTTAGAGCAGCTTCCAGTGCCTGAAGGGGCTCCAGGAAAGCTGGGGAGGGACTTGGGACAAGGGCAGGGAGGGATGGGATGAGGGGGATGGGATTAAACCTGGCAGAGGGGAGACTGAGGTTGGACATGAGGATGAAATTGTTGGGTGTGAGGGTGGTGAGAGCCTGGCCCAGGTTGCCCAGGGAAGCTGTGGCTGCCCCATCCCTGGCAGTGTTGAAGGGCAGGTTGGATGGGGCTTGGAGCAGCCTGGGCTGGTGGGAGGTGTCCCTGCCCATGCAGGGGG